CGCGACATTCTGAGGTATGCTGATTGTTGAATAGTTTTAGCATATTGGCCCAGAACTGCAAGTGAATGATGGCTTTAAATGTCCTCCTAATGGCCCATCCAGGTTGAATCAGATGGTAGGCTGCCTTTATCAATGGATGGGTTGTTTTGGTGACACTTGAGGGTTGCCCAACTGTCTATAGCTGGAAATGGTTCACACACATTGATGAAGTACCCCTTGGAACAAGGGATATGATTGTATTAGGCATACCTTGGAGCTTAGCACTGAAAGTTTGTTTTTTTCATTCTTGAGAACAAACATGCCGCTTGATCTGTGGGAGATTGCACTTAATCTGTTTGTAATGCCAACACGGCCTTCCTCTTCGTTCCTTGGAATTCCCAATATCATGGCTGACCCAGGTGCCTTTATGAGAATCCCCAAGTTTCATATCCCCTTGGCACTTAGACTATAAAAGTGGGTGCCTATTAAAACAACTAAGCACAAAATAAGAGAGAACCCCACTAATCAAGGAGGTCTCAGCTGGAGGAGGGGGTGGAGTCCTTACACCATAGTGTCATGAAACAGAGAATATCTAATTTTGACAAAGTTCTTTTTACTCCTAAACCCCATTCTTGGTTGATGCTGAGTAAAATAGACAGGATTTTCATAAGTGGATTGTAGGGACAGTATCAGTCCAGTCTTGTTCCGACGACACTGGTGCCAAATTTACTTTGGGGGCCAATCCAAAGTCCTGGCATTGGCCTTTATAGCCCTATACTTTGGGCTGGTATACATTAAGACTCCCGTCTGAACCGATCCGATCACTATGGCCCTTTTCAGAGGCTCTGTTTTGGTTCCTCCAGTATCTGAAGAGGATGGTGGGTTGAAAGCAGGGGTGAAGGAAATGAGAATTGGCTCCTCAGCAGAAAGGGGCTGTCTCCACTCAGGGCTCAGGCAACACGCCAAGTAGGCACAAACCACTCCTGCCTTGCAACTCCACTGCCCTGTTCAGAACAGCAGCCACCATGACAAGAGCAAGCGCAAAACCCTCACCATGCACAACTTGCATGTTCAGCACCTGTCCTCAATGTCCTCCCACCGCCTCCTGGCTGCACCCATGAAAGAGTATTACACTACAATTCCTCAAGGGCTTTACCCACTCATCAGGGTGACAAACAGATCATGGGAACTGTAGCCTTATTACAGATGGATCTTTCACTTGCATTGGCCAAATAAATCCACCTGCCATCCTTGGCTCCACACATGGGGTAGATACCCACTGAGTTTGCTGGAGAGTAGGACATAAGGGTTATAAGTTAGGAGGTGGTATGTTTTTTTTTTAACGTTTGAAGAACCTATGGGGCCTGGGTTTTATTGTTCATTTTCATTCTGTACTGTTAGAAGCCTTGAGCCATAGTATGATATAATTGTTTCAGCAAACAAACCTAAATAAAAACATGCTTCAGAAATAGACATTTTTATTGCATCTTAACTGGGGAAGAAATATTTGTGACCCGGTGAGCAGTGACCAAGTCTCCAGATGATACCAATGTATCGAATGGGCAATAACACGGCAAATTGATGCAGGCAACTACAAAGTGATTGTGGAGTGCTGCTTATTGGGCAGACGGTTTTACCTTTAAAACACACTCTGTGTACGTGAACTTGGTAGATTTCTGCTGCCACTAGAAATTAAAAATTCCAAATCTCTCTCTTTTGGTAGAATGGCCTAGGGTCTGGGCACTTCAGAGGACTATGTGGCCCTGAGGAAGGATTGTTCTGATTGCTGGGATAAGTTTAAACAAAAACTGGAACTGGAGCTCTGATCAGTCGGCGCCGGGGGCCTCACCACACCACCCACGATACCACACTACTCACCACGAGCATATGGTTAGGTCCAGGTCCAGATCCCTATCCCGAGGAAGAGACTACAGAGACCCAGCCTACGGCCCCAACCCCCGTGCCTGGGAGAGAAGACAGCAGGCTTCAGGAATGCTCAATCAACCCCGGCACCAGGGAGCTGCATGACATCGGGGGCATTCCCCACCAGCAATGCCTAGGTGCAGGGAGCCTACATATACAAGCACTGGCCAGGAGAGGGCACACAACTCCTTAGAGAGGGAGGATTATGCCATATGGGACCTGCAAGCTTCGCTGGGAGGATTGGACCAGGACATAGAGGGGTCTGACTCGCATAGAGATGGGGGAGACGAGGACCTGATTGGTCAAGACACGGAACCCCAGCAAGCCATGCCAGGTCAGGACACTACTAAAGGCTTCTTGGACCTGCTGCAGAACATGGTGAATGCTCTAGGGATCCAGTCGACATCTGCAGCCGCACCTGTCACGGATTTAGTGCATGACATGCTACAGGTAGATAGCCCTGTACCATTTGTACTGCCTGCACTGCCTGTGCACATAACGACACTGCAGGAGGCCTGGAAAAAAACTGCTTCAATCCCACCAGTCCCAAAGCGTTGTGAGACGATGTACAGGGTGCAGGGTGAGAGCAATACTTTTCTGCAGTCTCAACATGAGCCAAATTCTTCAGTAGTACATTCATCATCCAAGATGAAGCAGTCACGGTACCTAGCCCTGCCTGACAGGGAGGGGCGAAAGATAGACTCAATGGCAAGAAAAATTTATGCAGCTACATCCACTGCCGCAAAGATGCAAACATATGTCTCTTACTTGTCAGCATCCATCTTTAATATGTCAAACAAAATTGAGAGCCATTTTGATCAGCTTATCAATAGGCTTGTTCAGTAATGTGTCAGTTTTTTGTCAGTATTTGAGTTTTTTTGGTTTGCAGTTGGGTTGCAACTGATGCATACATGCTACTTTAAAAAATAAAAACAGAGGTGGACAGGCATATGAAGTTTGAGGAGGGGGTGAAATCTCGAAGTGCAAAAACATTCATACTGTGAGTAAACATTGTGTACCGTTAATATGCATGAACTGGACCTCAGAAGGGGCCGGAAGAGGTAAAGAAGGGAGGCTTTTGAGTAGGGGTACTGATGCTGGGAAAAGGTACAGGTAAAATAATTCATGTCAGAGGCATGGAAGGCCAATGCATGTTATTTTCTTCCTCAGAGTTCTCTTATCTTCATTGCTATGTAGAGGGAAAGGGATGGGAAAGACCTCCATTTGGGACCCCTGGGACCCCAGGAAAGTTGGAGTAGACAAAGTGAGGTCAGATGGTCTATCCGGCAGCTTCATATGGTCATTAATATTTGGGAATAATAACAGATTTGTAAACATTCACGCACATCGAAATGGAACAACTTTGTCTTAAATTCCATAAAGCTTGGTCAAACCTCACTGGTTTGTCCCCTTCCTGAAACATGAAAGAGAGTAGGACCAAAGTCCTGTCTCAAAAGTTCATCTTTTCCAGCCATGCACCTGCGCATTGAGCCACACACAGTGCCAAAGATGCTGCAGAGGGCGGCACTTTCCCTTCTAATGATGGAAATGATGGTGATTTGCTCCTCCACTCACCAACACTCGAGAGCCCTTTCCTAACACCACCCTTGAAGATAATTGTATAAATCAAGAAAAATGCATGGTAATTCGTCAAACAGAGTTTGAAATGGCTGGAGCATAAATATCTCTGGAGTCTGAGATTTAGGGCAGCTGGGAGAAGGGGGCCAGAGCTCTGCTGCTGTGTGATTCAGTGTCATCCCCTTGGATCAGAATCCAGCACTGAGCTCCGTCAGTATAAGTACAGCCTCTGGTCTGTTGGTGTGACAGGTTTTGGCCTCTTCAAGTCAGCAAGATATCGGAAGCGGCTTTAGCCGGCATTCCCAGGATGACCCTGCTGCTGATGGTGCTCTTTCAGCTCCTGTCCCACCT